CCCCAAAACCCCAAAACCCCTCAATTGAAGAATAATGAAATAAGAATGTAATTAAAATTAATGCTAGTACAGAATATAAATTCTTTGATTATTCCTTCAAGAGTAGAGATCATCATCATCAGCCTATTGGTTTTGGAATTAAGACTAGCTGGTCTCTGGCCAGTTAATCTTATTTGCACTTTTACCGTCTTGTTTAGCAGCGAATGCTGGGTCGTACAATCTTTGGAACTGTACGTATCTGTCCAAATCAGCCTTTTTAACTGATTTTCTAGCATGAGCTAGAGCTTCTTCAAAATGTTTACGGGTGATAACTGGAACTGGATCTTCCATATCGGCCATTTGTTAATCACCATCTGGGTTTTCTCTCATCAAAGCTTTTCTTTGTTCGTCTGCTTCAATAGATTCTCTGATAGCAGCCTTTGTAGCTCTTTGGCAAAGCTCAGTGAGATCTGCACCAGTGAAATCCTCTGTTAATTCAGCAAGGAAATCAATACTAACGTTTGGATGGACAGGACTCTTTCTCAAGACAGATTTGAATACATTGACTCTTGATGGCTTGTCTGGGAGTGGAATATAGATAAGTTGATCTAGACGACCAGGTCTAATCAAGGCCTCATCAAGGGTGTCTGGTCTGTTGGTAGCTCCAATAAAGAAGAGATTCTTCTTGGCACCTACTCCGTCCATTTCAGTCAGGAGTTGATTGAGTACTCTATCACCAGCACCACCACCATCTCCAGATGATCCTCCTCTGGCTTGACCTACTGAATCAAGCTCATCGAAGAAGAGAACGCAAGGAGCAGCACCTCTGGCCTTATCGAAAACTTCTCTTACATTAGCTTCTGACTCTCCGAACCACATAGTCAAGAGCTCTGGTCCCTTGATACTGATGAAGTTTGATGAGCACTCATGAGCAACAGCTTTAGCGAGTAGTGTCTTACCACAACCTGGTGGACCATAGAAAAGTACTCCCTTTGATGGTTACATTCCGAATTTATGGAATTTATCTGGGTGTTCAATTGGATAGAGGATCATTTCTTATAAGTTCTTCTTCACATCTTCAAGACCTCCAATATCATCCCAAGTAACATCTGGAATTTCTACAACTGTCTCTCTAAGACTTGATGGGTTAGTTTGGCCTTGAGCGAATCTGAAATGCTCATTAGTAACAGCCATAGCGTCTAGAATCTCAGCATCAATAGTCTCATCTTCAATATCAATCAAGTCCATCTTTTCTCTGATACATTAGAGGGCAGCCTCAGTACAGAGAGCAGCGAGATCAGAACCTACATAACCATGAGTTGATTTTGCGATTTCAGCGAGATCTACATCCTCTGAAAGTTTCATGTTTTTAGTGTGAATTCTCAATACTTCCATTCTACCTACTTCATCTGGTACTCCAATATCGATTTCTCTATCGAATCTTCCAAATCTTCTCAAAGCCTGGTCAAGAGCATTTGGTCTGTTTGTAGCAGCAATGACGACGACATGTCCTCTTCCCTTAAGTCCATCCATAAGAGTAAGGAGTTAGGCAACGACTCTCTTTTCAACTTCACCTTGAGTTTTATCTCTCTTTGGAGCAATGGAATCGAGCTCATCAATGAAAATAATAGCTGGGGAGTTTTTCTCAGCTTCTTCAAATGCCTTTCTTAAATTTGCTTCAGCCTCACCAGCCATCTTTGACATGATCTCAGGACCATTGAGAAGGAAGAAGAAAGCTCCAGTCTCATTGGCAATGGCTCTAGCAATAAGGGTCTTACCTGAACCTGGAGGTCCAAAAAGCAAGACTCCTCTAGGTGGCTTGACTCCAAGAGTTTTGAATAATTGAGGATGTCTAAGTGGCAACTCAATCATTTCTCTAATTGAAGCCATTTGCTTTCTGCAACCACCAATATCATCATATCCAACTCCGTCGAGTTGTTCTTCATCTTCTCTCTTAATGGGCTCACCCTCATCAAAGAGCATAGTGTTTGGTGACACAATACAATATTCACCAGGATCAACTTCTACTACCTTGAACTCAACTGCCTTGAATCCTCCTCTGACAAGGAATGTATCACCCTTTCTTACTGGTCTGTAGCAATCCTTGAAGTATGGGATCAAATAAGTTTAGGTAAGATTTCCAGTGATTCCCTCAATAGTGTCATCAATGGGTAGAATGTGAACTCTGTTTCCATTAGGGATATCTGGGCATGGGTGTACTGAGATTACATCTCCTAATCTAACTCTAAGATTTCTTCTGACTACTTTATTCATTCTAATTTTCATGTTGTCAAGATCATCACCATCTTCAGTAGCAAGAGCAATACAGACAGTATCTCTTCTCTTTTTACCTATAGAATGCATTAACATCTTGGAAGGAATGTAAATGTTGGTTAATTACCCTTGATCAAAACAGTATCTCCTTTAAAGATCTTTAACTCATCCATCTTTGCTTGAGTCATCTCAATGACTGAGTTATCATCGTTTTTGGCTTCTTCAACAGTAAGCTTATTAGGGGCCTTCTTTCTCTCTAGAATAGCTGTAGAAAAGTCTTTCTTTTTCCTAGAGTAAAGTTTAAAGGATAGGCGGTATCTTACTCCATTGGTATGTTTTAAAGAATTTATCAAATTATTAACTTAATCTAAGAAATTTCTAATGGAATATATCGAGACTAAAACTTGGTTAATAATTTACCTCACAAGAGTTCCAAAAATTAAAGACTTACGGGGTTTTGGGGTTTTGGGGTTTTGGGGTTTTGGGGTTTTGGGGTTTTGG